CCAGCTATTTAAACTACGGCTTAACCATGACTACTCGAGCCATAGTTTGAGCTATGGCTCAGATTATGGCTCAAGTCATGACTCCCAATAGTCATAACTCAAGTTGGAGTCATGGCTTTAGTTAACAACCCTTAATATTAGCATGATGGATCTCATTTCCCGACAATTTAGGTTAGCCCGATTAATAATTAAAGTTAGCTTAATTTATATTTAGCGTTAGTTAGAATTAAAAGTCGGTGAAACGGGTCTATGTTAGCACGTGCAATCGTTAACACTGTCTGAATAGAACTTGTTTTTGTGGCGTAATAAAAACAATCTCACGAAGTTACACACAAATGTTATATAATAATTATCTTTACATTCATTATTACACTACAAAATAAATTATGGTAAACTTTGGATAAATTGAAAATTGCACAACCTCATCAAATGATAACATTGTAATAGCAGAAAAATAAGTTGAGCATGGACTCACTTTATAATACAGAAAAATAAATTGTCAAACGAAAATAAAAATAATAAACGAATATAATCAAAAAAAGATAATAAAATAAAAAACATGTAGAAGCTAAAGATTTGATTATCAAAAAATATAATTATACCGATTATAAAGAACTAAATAATATTAAAAGGCCTTTTAAAACGCTACTTGACAAATAAACATATGTTTGATTCTATTAGGTGATCGACCACCCCAGCGATACATGCACTGAAGTTGGAGTATCAGTCGCGTCTGACCAATATTAAGGAGATCTCCAGGGCGGCCACCAAAAACCCGGGTCCACGTCACAGCGCACCATCTAATTGTTATTTTATTTGCTGCTTTAACAAAGAAAATATCGTATAAAAAAACATTGGTGAAAACATGCATTATTATACACGTCGCAGTTGTTATACAAATCAGATGACCCGAGGTTTGGTATGCATTAACGTTAAGTTGGGGTATATCATAATCAATGAAAAGACAGACAATGTAGAAATATTCCAGAAAACGCCAGAGGAAGAAATGATCGAGATTAAAAAAATGGTTGATTTATTTTTAAACCAAAATTCAATAGTATCTATGAATGAAAATAAAGAATTAAACCGCTCAGAAACGTTTGATAAAAAGGGTTCTAATATTTTACTTTCATTAAGCGACATAGATGAGCTTGAAAAAAAAATTATATAATTTGCCAATATTTGGCATAATTTTAAAATTTGAAATGGAGTTTGAAATGACAAATTATCCATTTCCATTTAGTTATTTAGAAAATCATTATGAGCTTCCTGAAGATAATATTGCATTAAAATCCATACTATTCAACAAGCAAGATTAACAAAAAAAACAAACCAATTTAACCTATTCATTTTCTAATGTAAAATGTGTTTTTTTTTTTATGTTTTATTAAATATATAGAAGATTATAACAAATTTAGAATGTATTTTCTAGTTATTGTACTTATTGATCAAATAAAATAACATGGTTCAATTTATTCAATTATATATATATAATTATGTGAAAACGATTTTTCTAAATCACTTCAGCGGCTTGGTGGCTTTGTTAAGTCCATGTAATTAATCCGTAAAAAAGTGTATTGGTTGATGGCCAATGCACATCTTATCGAAGCGACATATTCAATCACTGCGGAATCAATTTGAAGGGGCTGAGTCCAGTAAGGTGAACGATGGTTAATTTACATGTTTTTCTTCTTCGTTTCTATATAAAGCTTTTTGTCACGTTGGTTAGTATTGTTACAACAGAGCGACATAATAAAAAAATGGAATTACAGCTAGAAGCGTGATGTGAATATCGGACAATCTATTTATTCTGAATTTGAAATATTTCATATTCATTCGCGGTCTCCGAACGGAGATCACTTATTTTTTCATATATAATTGAAGCTTCTTCTTTGCAACGACAATATATATGAACTTGAGCAAACTTCTCCCACATGGCCAAACCACCCAAACATGCACCACTAAAACGTAGACCGGTATCAGCATCGTTGTAGATTGCATATTGCGGCTTTTTTACATGACTGAGGATGGTGGATTGAACAGTACTATTTTTAAATGAAAAAACAAAGCTATCACTGCAATTTACCCAACCAGATTTTGATTTATCCCATCCAATAGGATTGTAACCACCAACAATTTCATCGGAATTTTCAAGCTTTATTACTACAAGAATATTTTGTTGCTTATCACATAAATTCCAAAATAACTCTTTAGTAAAACCATCTCTTGTTCCACGAAGAAGTAATTTAAACTTATATGGATTATTTGCTACTGAATATGCTTTAGTTGGTTTATCAACCCATGTTGCAATTTAGCTGCACGAATTTCATCAATAACCGTTGAATGAAATGGTTCAGACACTCTAAATGGTAATGTTTGTATTAAAATTTTACGGGATAGAAGAACAACTGATGATATCTTTCTATTTGAAATCATAAACCTTTCAAATATATCATCCCAAAGATTTTCATCAAGGATTTTTTTATATGGCTTCATTTTGTCAATAATATCTTCATTGGACATTTGAAAATAGCGGATAAAAGGCAAACAATTTTGTAAAGTTGTCTTTAGAGTTAAAAAATTCTCCTGAGACCAATCTTTAGGATCAGATGATAAATTTGTACTTGAGCAACACCCCATCTAACAACTTTTTCCCAAATTTTCCCTTCATCCATTTGTAAATCATCTCTCTTAATGAGTGAGATTAGTGCACTTTCCGGAAGAGAAATGAAGTCTTTTGACTCAAAACTTTTTCGGGATATTTAGCCACGATATCATTTGCTCCATTTTTGTAATGCTTGAAGCTTTTCATTTTGGAAACATTTGCGATAGATACTTGCAAAATTTAAACGGAGCCAGTGTGCATTTTCTTTAATTAACAAAGCTTCGAGATGTTCGGCTAATTCATTAAGAAGAAATTCGCAAGCAATAAGCGTGAGTTCAAATATAAATGATGCATCTTTATTTTCTAGCAAAATAACTCCTCCGTAAATATATCTTTATTAAATTAGTATAATAATTTAAAATTAGTTTCTCATGTTAATTTTAAACTGATGTTATTGAAGTATTTAAATAAAGGACTAATTTTACTAGTCCATTGAAATTGCTAACTTACTTAATAATTATTTCAAATTGTTGAATAGAAGCATGTTTTAAATTAATCGTTTTAATGCTATTTTTATATTCAATTTTTGCTAATTCATTTCGAAAATACAAAGATCTATATTTTAAAACATTTGTATGTGCTTGGAATATCTTGGTGTCTGGCGATTTTCCGACATTGATAATTACATTAAAATCTTCTTTATCATTAAGAAGTTCAATAAAATCATTCGAAAGCTTTTTAAAATGTTCTACCATTTTGAAATATTATTACATACTACATTATAATATTTACGTCATTGTAATTTAAATAGAAAAAGATTGTTTCACACTCAGGGACGATGATTTTCTGCAGGATGCAGGCCATACTAAGTTAAATTAAGTATTAATTAAGATTTATGCCGTCAAGGAACTTAACAATAATTGTATAAATTTTTATCTTAACAATGTTTATTATTTACAACGAATTTAAATAGCCTTTTTTAGATAAAGTGATTCTAAAACAATAAAATAATGTCAACGTTAATTTTATTTTCAAATCTTTATTTTTCATTTCTATATAAAATCTTTGCTAAAGTATTTGTACTTACATTTTCATTATCAGATATGAATATTATATATTGATTTTCAATTCTAAAAATATATGTATACGTATATATAATGGAAACACAAGTATTTGTAAATATTTGTCGTGCCTGACCAAAATTAGGCCCCTTAAATCAGATCATCTCATTCTTGAATGCAAGTACGTACTACTTCAGGTCCTGAATTGCAACTCCAGGCAGAGCAGATGTTCACTTAAGGCACGTGCGTATGACATATCGATACTCAGTCTAATAATTTACTGTAAATATTTCGGCCTTTTCTTATTCATTTGCGCTCCCTATTTTTTGAAATTAATGTTCTGGAAAGAATTGGCGAATATGTGCGTACGTACGCACATACTTAGCTGTTAGCTACTATATTCAAAATCGTTGGGGTTACATAACCTAAACAAACTTATTTTAGTGAATGGGCATACAAATTTCCTTATTCCTATTCTTATTTAGTTGTTCAAATCATGTGTACAGTACTACGATCAAAATATCATACAAATTTGGAATCATAATACGTCTTGTTCAGAAACTTCATATTCTTTCGGTTTCTTATTAACTACGCAAAACAATAAAGCTTACTTTTTTGTAAGTAAACTTATTCATTCTTTTGTTAACGATGTCTTTTCATTGTTCGATGAGAAGGATTTTTACAAGACAAAGATGCAAGTTGAGGTAAATAATAATTTATAATTCATAATGTTTAAATTAACAGTTTACGATAATTATTTTCAATTTTTTAATTATAATTGCAGGTTGAGATCTGTTGCATCTAGAAATAATGATGACATTGAAAAGACTATAGAAAAATTATGCATTCTTTATAATAAAGAAAGACTGAAAGGAACAAGTGATATCAAGATACTTGACCAAATTGAACATTTAGTTGAAACCGAACAGAAGAAACCCGAAGATATTATTAATTGGTGTTTAGATAATCGAAATTATGATAATGCAACTCAATGTAAACGTATTATTCAATGCATTCTCTCGGACTGTTATTTTAATGGAAAATGGGTTTCAGAAGACAAAATGAAAGCTTTTGAACTCAATCAAAAATCGGCGGAGAATGGTTATGTTGTAGCATACTGTTGCCTCGGCTATTGTTATTTGAAGGGTATAGGGACAGACGTTGATCATATTAAGTCATTCAAATACTACCGTAAAGCGGCTAGAGAAGGATGTGCTATTGCTTTTAATGGCCTGGGTGTTTGTTTTAGTGACGGTGTAGGAACTCGAATTAACGAAAAGAAAGCATTTAAATATTTTCAAAAGGCTGCTAAAGAAGAATTCCCTTTAGGACAATATAATCTTGCCACTTGCTATCAATATGGTGAAGGTATTAAGGTAAATGGCAAAGAGGCTTTTAAAATGTATCAAAAATCTGCCGCTGGTGGTTATTACCCAGCATATAAAAAACTTGGTGATTGTTATAATAAGGGAATAGGAACAGAAATTGATGAAGAGAAAGCTTTGGAATATTATAAAAAAGCCGTAGGTGATTAACCACAAACTTATTAACATATAAAATTATTTATACATCTATCAATATTATCTATGTAGTTATATATTCTAATAATCAATAATACCTCATTAACATCAACCCTTTTATCCAAATACTCCATTATTAGCGATAGTTTTAACAAAGCTTCCAACATTAATCCTCTTTATTATCTCTTCCCATCTCCTCCTAGGTTGATATTAATGAAGAAAGACTTTCTTTTATTTATTTATATTTGTATAAAATTAAAATAAATAAATATTTAAGTTTTTATAAGCAGTGGTGGAAAATGACATACAATTTTTTATGACAGATAAATGACATTCAAATTTTATAATGAATATTATAAATTTTTATGACATTCAATTTGTAAAAATTGTCAAATTGCCATCACTGTTTATAAGTGTATTAATTTATTTATCGTTATCAGAGCAATTATTTATGGAGAATTTTTTGTTGATTATGTATTATTGACATGATTGTTGTCACGGTTTGTCGAGAGAGTATTCGCAGTTTAGTCCTGCCGTAGCTTAAATAATGTGGACTGAATAAGATTTTATTCAATTATCAATGAGGATTGATGAAAAAAAGTCGATTATACTAAATTACTTTATTTATAATAATAGGACATGCACGATCCTTTATTAAGAACTGTTAGAACTTTTGTATGTCTTGATTTAATAACAGTTTCATTCTATTGCCAATCTCTTCTAAATAATGATGAGCAATTTGCAAATTTCTTCAATACTGTATACCATTCTGGATGTGCATCACACGTGCGATCTGCGTGTGATGTGCAGGATTGAGGTGAACAATCTGCGGGTTTTTCGAATTTCCTTTGCATAATACGCGGAATAGAATGTTCTGTTCAAACTTTGTAAAATAATTTATTGCTACTACCTCCCATTATAATAATTCTACCGGATAATCCTGGGACATATGCATACAACAGAGCTCTATATACGTAGAGTTATC